TCTCTACCAAACCAAAGCAATGCGATCTCAACTTGCTGCCACCCGAAGATGTCATGAACCTGAAATTAGGGACTTTTAGATTTGCACAACGACAATGTGGATTGCTACGATCGACTTCCCTTTGTACTGCCATGAATGGACGTCACACGTATCAGTCCACGCAGGCGCGTACGCAGGACTATTACGACGCCAGGCGAAGGCTGAGCTGGTGAGCGTAATTGTTCGTTGATAGCGCCATCTTCGGCGGCTTGAATCAATTGTCATCATCATAATCAACTTCAGGTGGCGCTGTAAAGCGCTGCTTTGGTCTTCACGCCATGCAACCCCATGCAACTCTTTCACCTGCCATTTGTGTTGCACCTTTCATTCCTTGTCCAGACACTTCTTGATATCATCAGTCCAAGATATTGATGGACGACCTATACCCCGTTTTCCTTCGACTGCTCCTTGCAGTATTTGCTTCTCAACAACTTCAGATCTCCTAACAATGTGCCCCAAATAGTTTAGTTCTCTTTCCATGATTCCCCTTCTGATGGTCAAGTCTGTTTCAATCTTGTCCAGGGCCCACATATTTGTCTTTTTATCTTTCCATGACACCTGCAACAGCCTCCTGTAGCACCACGGTTCAAAGGCATCAACCATCTTTCTGTCATTCTTTGTCATGGCCCAGGACTCACTTCCGTATTAGTCGCAATAGAGAAAGAAAATGTTCAATTGTAGGGAATATAAGGATAAGGAACCGGCCAGATTCTGGAAATTTTATTTTTATTTTAAAAGTTATTTTAATGTTCATCCAATGCACACAAAATAATAACAGAATGATATTATATAAATATTTTGTCATAATATTTCAAGATATTGGAGTTACATTACTTTAACATGAAATTAATATATAATAACAAATCGCAACTTTCCATTTTTACATCTCAAACTATTACAAATGCATAACAACATTATAAGCATTGTACAGATAAAGTGTATTTACTAATTATCACTTTCTCTCTCTCTCTCTCTCTTTCTTTCTCTCTATTCTAGTCTCTTCTCTCTCGCGTTCCATTTTCCGTTCTTCTTTTCTCTTTCTTCCACGCCTTTTTAGGCGTTTTCTTTGTTTTGTCATTCTAGTACTTCTACCTCCCTTTTCATTTGCAATACCCAGTCTTTACATTGCTTCGTCATCTTTTATAACACGCTTATCCTTGTTGTTTTACGTTTGCTCTTAGCAACTCTTGTACCCCTTTGTCAGGTTTCCAAGAACGCTGGTTTTTAATAAATTTGCTTTACTGGACAAAAGATCTAAGCAGAATATTAATGTTTTGTTTTTCCAACGAATATTTCATTATTTCTTCCTAACTTAACTATTTATGTGTTTATCTATTTATCTATTTATATATCTATACATCATATCTATCTATCTATCTATCTGTATATCCCTCTTTCTATCTTTCTATCCATCTATCTATATATCTGTGTATCCAACTATTTATCTATCTATCCCTCTCTTTCAGTTGATCCCTTTATCTATCGTATTATTTATTTATCTTTCTATCTACATTTCTATCTGAGTTTGAGTTTAAAGCTTTATTATCCAACAAAAAGCACATTAATATAACAATCAATTGTGAACGTTTAACATTGGAAGGATAAATGGGACCAGAAAATAGCATTTAATGCTGATCGTGTCTGATACCACTAACACACACAAGTATCAGAGCAATGAATGAAAATGTAATGAATAATTATGAATAACTATTGAATACATACTTAAGCTACAAGCTATTCTACATCTACTATAGGCAAAATATGTCTTGTGATTAAATACAAAGCTTTGGTATTTTACACTAAATAAAAAGATAAATAATTATATACATGTAACATAATATTTACATTAAGGCAAGAACCTCGGTTCAAAGTTAAAAAACGATTATTCTATTAACATTTGTGATATTAGAGTTCTACGAAAGCAAGACACTGACATCTACCAGTCATTTACCATCCGTAGTCTGCAGGCTGCAGGCACGCACAGAGTTTTGATTTCAAACTTGACTAAAATTCATAAACTCAAGCCTTTAGCAAAGCCTAATTGGCTAATTCTGTCAGTCTCTGACAATGTCAAATATTACAGACCCTATGTAGTAAGATGTCAACCTAGCCTCAATAAGGAGCTTCAACCACACAGCTCCTTGGTCTCATTGTGCAGACACTGTTAAGCACAGCGGCTGAAAAGAGTTTGTCCTAGCAAACTAACACATGGATGTGCCCCATTAAAACAAATACTAGCATACACGAGGCAAACTATACCGGTATCATCAATTAGGGAATCTTTATCGAAGAAATGGTTATCAAATTTTCCTAAATTAGTTGAGGGGCTTTTTGTTTCGGGGAACATTTATTTTGTGATGCAAGGTAGGAGTTCAAATTTGTCGTGTATTAATAAAACTTGAATACTTTGTTTAACAAGTAATCAAGAATGGCTAAAAAAGATAGCAAAATGTGTGTGTGTTTGTATTTAATTTGACTTTTATTAGAGCTTACCCAAAGCTAAGGCACGAAATCATTTCTGAAACTACACACTGATTATTTTCCAAAATGAGCACTACTTGTGGAAATCTTCCGCAATGTCCACACAAATTAATACGCATATAAAGTACATAACACTTTTCGTAATATATAATCAAATTATATGCGCAAATCGTTATTAAGACAGTGCCTCGATCGTTACAAATGATTTCATTCATCTTTTACCTGCATACGTTTAGGTGGAACAAACATTTTGCATTCCGTACAAACTGGGGGTTCGGGGGTTCGCGCGACCCCCCCCCCCCATTTTTTTTGGTTTTTTGCTCAAGATGGGGTGTTGATTTAAACAAATAATGGTGCCCCATATCCCCCCCCCCCCCCCCCCGTTGAGCAACAACCAAAAGGAAATTGTGCTCAAAGAGGCTGTTCATCATCATAAAGGAGCCCTCTTATATAGAGGCTTACATTAACTTATGCATTGGAACCTAATTAATTGACAGGCTATCTACATGACTTTTGTTCTACATAAGGATGAAATTGAATGAGAAAATAGGCCCTGTTATAGAAATATGTCTTGACCTGTGCAGTTGTCTTTACAAAGTTGAATGCCTGTTATTTTATCTAAATTCAATATAAAAAAATTGACATTTAATAATGCTTTTGTTTAAATGTTCACTCACTATGCTCGTTCGCAAGTGATCTTCAGGCCTTTTAGTGCGTACACGTACGCACATTATACACACACATAATGTTCAGAAGTCAGCATGACCAGGGGCCTGTCTCACTAAGCGCTAAGATGCGTCTTAAGCGGCCTTAAGTCCTGTTATAGGACTTAGTGTAAGATGCATCTTAGCGGGAGTTTCACAAAGCCCACTAAGACGCGTACCGTACTTAGTACCCCTTAAACTAAGTTGCATACAGGTCGTAGCCTACGTCTCGTCGAGACGAGACGTAGGAACAGTTCTTAGTGTAATGTCATGTGATAAATTTCGCGCCAAATTTGAAAGTCGTTTTAATTCTCGATGATGGCCGACCTTCAAATCTTGATGGCCGATCGGGTGGCCCAGAGGGCTTCGTCGAGAGCGGGTTTTTCGCGACAGACAAAACCCTTTGGATAGGTTTAATGAGGACGAAATGTACGAGAGGTATAGATTTTCCCGAAGAGGCATTATGCTACTTCTAAATACCTTGGCACCGCGATTGGATCGGGAGACATCCAGAAGCCACGCCATTGATGGGCGGTTGCAGTTGTTAACGGCGCTGCGTTTCTACGCAAGTGGCACCGTGCACCACAACCATGGTGATCATCACGGAGTCAGCAAGGCCAGCGCAAGCAGGATTGTTCGTCGTGTTAACCGTGTTTTGATACGGATGAAACACGATATCATCAGATTCCCGACAACCCCTGCTGAAGTTGCAGCCAGTCAAGCCGACTTCTTCGCTGTGAGCGGTATGCCCCGAGTTGTGAGTGCCGTTGATTGCACTCACGTTTTGTTGAGGGGTGCAAGGTAGGTCTATTTCATTTGATATATTTAAAGCATTAATATAGGGCCTGTGGTATGCCACACCCTTATGAAAAAAAACTAGGCCTACCATGAAATTACCATGGTTCGATAAAAAAAGAACCATGGTTATCATGGTACTTTTTTATAACGGTTTGTGGGGTAAAATGCACGTGAACAAACAAAATTGAACAAACTGCACAAATTTGCGCTGTTTCAGGCGCGGATCCAGGGGGGCCGAGCGGGCCTTGCCCCCCCCCCCCCCCCCCCCCCCTCCCCCAGCAAAAAAAAAAAAAAAGAGAGAGAGAGAAGGAAAAGAAGGGAAAGGGAAAGAGGAGAGAAAGGGAAAAAGTAAGTGGAAGAAGAAAAGAAAAGAAGGAAGAAGAAGATCGCGGGGGGAGGACTTGCCTCCCAGGCAGTTGCCTCCCCCCCCCCCCCCAATCAAAAAATAAAAGAGAAGGAACGAAAGGGAAAGAAAAAAAGAAAAAAGGAGATAAAGGAAAGGAAAAAAGAGGAAGAAGAAAAGAAAAGGGGGATATCAGTTGCAATTTTCCCGCCAACAAGTTGTGGATCGGATGGGGGGGGGCGGCAAAAGGCCCTTGCCTTCCCCCCTCCCCCCCCCCCCTCCCCCAGAGAAAAGGAAGAAAAAGGAAAAGAGGAGACCTAAAGAGAACAAAAAAGAGGAAGAAAAGAAAAGGGAGAAAAGAAGGGGAGATCAGTTGTGGGTAGTCCCGCCAACAATGTGTGGAGCGGTGTGGGGGCCAGAATGACCTCCCCCTCCCCCTCCCCCCCCCCAGCAAACCTAAAAAAGAGAGAAGGAAGGGAAGGGAAAGGGAAAGAGGAGAGAAAGGAAAAGAAGAAAAAAAAAGAGAATGAAGAAAGGTAAGGTAATACAGTTGCAATTTTCCCGCCAACAAGATGTAGATCGGGGGGGGGGGGGGGAAGGGGGCACTGGCGTACTGATAGGGTAGGGGGGGGGGGGGGCTTTGGGGAAATAAAATTCAAAAGTGGTTTATTTCTAATTCCATAACGGTGGTTTCCAATAATGCTGAAATGACACAATTTTCCAAGATTTTTCCTCACTTTTAAGTAAATTATACTTTTTTATGGGTTTATTGGAAAATGACAAATTCCTAAATTAACAGCCAGGCAAGAAAATGCTTCTTGAGATGCCTACATGTCTCTAATTTTTTAATGAAACGTCGAAGCTTCCGCGCTTCGCGTGGGAGAGGGAAAACTGAATTTAGACGAGGATTAAAAGTCATAACGGTACAACGATTCGTCTTTTTCCTCTAATAATTCAATGAAACGTCGAAGCTTCCGCGCATCGCGCGGGAGGGGGGGGGGGGAGGGACTGAATTAAGACAAGGATTAAGAGTCGAGAACGGTACAACGAATCGTCTTCTTTCTCTAATGATTTAATGAAACGTAAAAGCTTCCGCGCGGAAAGGGGGAAACACAATTCAGAAGAGGATTATTTTTGGGAACGGAACAACGAATCGTCTTCTTTCTCTAATAATTTATTGAAAAATGTCAAAGCTTCCGCGCTTCGCGGAGGGAGGGGGAAACTCACCCTGCACCCGCCCCCCCCCAATTACGTCACTGCTGGTCATCATTACGTACCAATATTTGGCTCGCATATTTCCAAATTTGGCCCCCCCCCCCCTAAGAAATCCTGGATCCGCGCCTGCGCTGTTTAACTACTAAAACAGCATTTTCAAATCGAATCTGCATATGCATTGTTCAAACCACTCATTTTTTAACATTTCCAAATGAAATTTTGCATATTGTCATACAAATATTAATTTAAAAACAAAATAAACATAAAAGAAAATAAACATTAGGGTCTACCATATTGTTCAATATACTTCAATCTATCACCATGCTAATGTTCACATTATTTGGACCTTCCTAGGCAGAGATCTTAGGGGGGCCATAATGCCCCCCCCCCCCGACCTCGTATTAAGACCTTAAATAGCCTGGCCTTTTGGAACTATTTATATAAGCTGTTTTCTGAGCGAGGTGAAACGAATTGAACTAGAGCGGTTTTATTTATCTTGTTTTTGCGTTTGCTTTTTTTTAAAGTTTCAATGGTTTCCAGGTTTGTGAAACGCGATATAGGGCATGAAGTGTTTATATAGACTTTAGCTTATATTTAAGTTTTCTTACTGCAATTGAGATTCTAAAATAAATAACAATAAACATAATGGATAATTTTGTCTGAACATTTTGCAGGAAAAATTCTAGTTCACGATATAGTGTCACATAATTTTCTATCAATAACAGACTGCAACTTCTTTATTCATTAAACCCATCCATAGATACGGAGACGACGCATATATCTATGTCAACAGAAAGAGACAAAAGAGCATAAATGTGCAACTCATGTGTACGACGCGGTTCAAGATTACCAATGTTGTTGCAAGGTGGCCAGGATCGACACACGACAGTCGGATCCTGACACACAGCAACATTGCTGCAGATTTTGAGGCTGGGAGGAAGGAAGGTGTCATCATTGGTGACAGTGGGTACCCCCTCAAGCCTTGGCTGATCACACCAATCCAAAATCCACAAACACCGGCAGAATATGCATATAACAGGCAAGTATTATAATACAATAACATTGCAAACTCGACCCAAACTACAAATCTACTAAAGATAGCAATGTCGATTGTCGTATCATGTGCGATCAGTGGCGTACGCTCGTTTTTTCAGGGGGGGGGGGGTGGTTAAGCTTTTAAAATCGTGCCGAAAATTTCGCAATACCTCTGCCAGCCACTGAATAATGGGGGGGGGGGGGGTGGGTAAGAGCATTTTTTTTTTTTAATTAATTAATTAATTAATTTTTTTTTTTTTTTTTTTTTGGGGGGGGGGGGGGGGGGGTTCATCAAATATCACACACATACAAACAAATTGAGGGGGTTTAGCCCCCCCCCCCCCCCCCCTGCTACGTACGCGTCTGTCTACAATGCTATCCAGTGCAGATATCGATGTACAAATTCATTAGAATAGAATAAAAAGAAAGAGGAAGAGCGGGATGAATGAAATACGATGAAGAGAAGGAGAGGAGAAGGTGAAGGAAGTAGGAGGTTGAAGAGAGGAAAAAGAAAGTCAGATTGAATACCAAAGGAAAGTGTATCTTTTATAAATTGTAATGATACTTGAGAGCAAGCGTAAAATCTTAATGTTATAAAATGTTTTTATAACTATTTTGAAACTGAAAATATGTTGAAACTGTCAATATTGTCTTTCAAAAAGCTTCACATCTACTGTAGATAGCAATGTCAAAATCCAAAGAGCAAATCTGGCTTTAACGTAACGTCAATTAGCAGTAGGTCATCTCATTGTAATGTCAGGACCACCTGTTATCGCTTTACTTTTTTCTCAGCGTTTTAAGAGAATTACTAGTGATTTAAGAGCAACATTCAACATTTTGTAATAAATGTTTTTCATTTTATATTTTCAGAGCTCATCCAAGAACACGGGTCTTCATAGAACAGGTGAATGGGCAAATTAAGGCAAAGTTTCCGTGTCTTGCTGTTGGGCTTCGAGTGGCACCCAAACACGCATGTCGTACCATCGTTGCCTGCGCAGTTCTGTTCAACATGGCCAAAGAGATGGGAGAACCACAAGACTACTTTGTTCAGCCTCCTCCAGATCCAGCCGATATCAATGACTACCAAGGTCAACCTGGAGCAGTCGCCATTGCAGTTCGAGACCAAATTGTACAAGAATTTTTCTGAATGTCTATTTTGGCTTCATTTTTGTGAACTCTAGAACTTTAGAACGAAGTAAGGTATTGTGATGAAACTTGGTATTTGTATGCATGATCGTGTAAGTTTCAGGCAGAGGCACATTTCTTAACTGCATGAGGTTGATTTTGTTTCTACTCGTTTTACACACTTGAAATAGATTTACCAGGATTGGTAAATTAAATGTTCTCATAAATCCATATCAATGCAATGTAATCAAAGCATTTCTTCACTTGTCATGTATTTCACTTTTTCAGGTTGACTATGTTGTAAAAGTTACTGATATCTGAATTATCTCATCAAATCAAATGTCACCATTTATTTAACAACTTTTTCAACAACAGGATATATTCATACTGGTACACATAAGTTGTACATAATGTGACAGACAATTTAAATTTGTTAAAGGCCAGTAATTTAAATTTATTACACTCAAAGAAAAGACAACTTTTGCTGTGGATTTTCTGTAAAGCAGCAGTAGTATTTATTATTCTGATAAAAATAACAGTCTATTTCTACCATAGTAGACCATAACTGTAGCAGATAATATTCTTCTTGATTGATAAGAGTAAAAAATGTGTAAATTCAAACAACCTAAATTTCACACTATGGGAGTTGTATGATGCATCACAAATGTTATCATAGCATGTGGATTAAAATGCTCTCATCAGTCTACCCATTGAATGTCAAAGGTTTTCTGTTATTTACGAGTCTTTCGGTGTCATCAAAAAATATCTTTAACAATTTGCAGAAGAGTGAACAATAATAAATTTATTTTATATGGTGCAACTCAGTTGATTAAAAAAAATACTGTATGTTTGTAATAGACGCAACCCCCCCCCCTTATTCTTCACTTGAAATTACAATAGTTTCCATAAAATGGGTCTGCAGTTACGTTTCCTGTTCACAAAATAATACAGTTATTAATAATAATTAATGTCCGTGTTTTGATCAGCACGTGACCTAACAAAATTGAACTGAATTTTGGTGTACCTTTGGGTGTTGTAATTTGTTAGTCTTAAAGAACATGACTTAATATATATCTGACACAGAGACCTGTATATATCATACAATAAGAGAGTAAAGGCTCTCTGAAGTGTTGGGAGCTCCACAAAACTCATGGCAAAATTCCCCTAAATTGCATAATGAAGTGAAAGAAGATATCACTTAACACTCATTTCTGCAAGAGTTTTCAGAACAAATGTGTTTGAAGACAGATAGCGATGAAAATATACAAATTTGAGGTTTACTGCGTACAACAGAAAACCTAAACTTTTCTCTTCAATCATATTTATTATGAAAATCATTGCAGAAGTGTCTGTTAAACGACATCCTCTTTCACATCATTAGACAATTTAAGTAAAACTTTGCCATGACATTTTTTGTGAAATTTGGTCTCCCAACACTTTAGAGGGGCTTTAATTAAGGAGGAGCTGCTGAAAATACTTAATTAGGGAGGTTGCAAAATACACCTCAAAACTTTGAATAAAATTATGGGGGAAAAAAAAGGATTAATAGAGCCCTTGTTGAGTTGAATTAAGGAGATCTATGGCTGTGGGTTTAATTGCTAGCATATTTTTGATGCTCCTTAGCTCTTCCAAAATAGCCTCGCTTATATTAACTTGCTTTTGCTTAACTTTTAATTTGTCGCGCTGTATTCTCAGCAGCTCCTCCTGAATTTCTAATTGCCTGATCTGTGCAGGTCTCTGTGCCAACATGTCATTAAACTGATGAGGCTGAGGTTGATGAAGCTGAGGCTGTGGCTGAGGAGGCTGTGGTTGAGGAGGCTGTGGTTGAGGAGGCTGATAACCACTCAGATCCGTAGCCTGTGAATCCTGTTCATACATAAACAACAATAAAGTTTATTCATAAAACAAGAAAAATATGTATCACAGATTTTGTAATTGCTATATCGATGAATGAGTTAGCACCTGTGATTTTAATGAGTCAAATTTTACATTTTTAGCCTTCCTAAAAACATTACAAAGTTAAAGATTCCCACAATGCTGTATCTACTGGTTTGACCAAGTATGGGACCAAAATGTTAACTGCCTGTGCATAACAACATGAGAACAACTAATGGTTTACACAAGCAAAATAGTTTGGACAAAAAGGACTTTTAGTCAAAGACCTTATTATTGAACATGCCATCCAGACCCATCCTACTTCAAAGCTATCATCACTTATAGCTCATATCCCATACCTCTTGCTGCTGATACACATGTTACTTCTGGAAGTCTCTTGGGGAAGGGGTAACAGGGAATACTCAAGATTATAAAACTTTTCTACACACCACAGGTTTCACTTAACATTTTGTTGTGTAGGCATCCTGCTCAATATGTCACATTTCTTTTTTTTAAACACAATTTACAAAAAGTACATGTATAGTAGTCCAAGCGATCATGTCCCGGCTTAAAACACAAGTTTTAACACTTTTTCATTACATTTGGGCACATTACAGCAAGAGTAAATGATATCACTTTTCCTAAAGAATTGTTGTAATGATGTAAGTACCCTAAATATATAATTGCATGACACGCCCATTACTGAATAAACTTAAAAAGGAAAGTCCCTGTAATATTAAATTAGTTTCAATATAATCAGAACAATTTGAGAAAGAATTCAGTGAAAGTTTGAGAAAACTAATATGTTATGAATCTTTCAAAATCATGAAAATCATGGAATCTTTAGAGACAAATTGACTATGTGGTCATAAATTGTGATTTCATCCCTTCACAATTCACCACTGATCTGAATGATCCGAGTGACAGAATGACCCAAAATCTCAATTTCTCTGAATGTCAATTGAAAAGACCTATATTATATGAGGACGCATGAAAGAACATGTTATCCATGATACACGATCAAGATAGGCATGAAGAAAATGTATCTTTTGATCAAAATGGAATTTAATGACATTTCTTTTCTTCAACAAAGGATGAAATGTGAGGTGCAGACATCATATCTAGAGACAGTGTTGCTAATTTGACTCACAGATTTGAAGAATTTAAACAAATAAAAATCCATCACTTTCTTATTTATTGTCCCATTTTTTGTCAACCTTCACTGATCTGTTCTTCACATTTTCTCCTTATATTAAAACAAACTTTAATTAAAGATGAGACACTACCAAATCCAAATGCTTACAATACCTGTGAATTTTGCTCATCTTCTTCTGGCAAGATACCCTCGACAGCTTCTCTTGCCAAAATGGCCAAAACCCGCTCGTGCATCTCATTGTGCTCTGGTGGTGGTCCACCACCTGGAAAGTAAAGAAATTGTATGAATATATAGTTAGGCATTAGTATCATTATGGACATAAATAACATTTGAATCAAATACTTTGAATTTAATTGGCCCTGGCAAGAATTCTAGAATAGTCAATTTGTTTTATAGACATATCTCTTTTTGTTAAAAAAATTATATTTGTCTAATATTTTTATGTTATAATATTTTAATATTTGTTTGAATTTTCTAAAAGTGTTTCAACTAACCCCAATCTCCCCTATTAAGCATCACACTCACCTGTCCTTGGGGCTTTATATGCTTTGGCTTTAGAAGCCATGTCTCGCCATTTCTTCCTTAATGAGGGCCATTCTCTCTCTTGGCCACCAGCTGCTCTAAGAGAATGGGTTGCTCTTTTCCAGGTTCTATGCATGGAAAGATTGGAAATAATGTGGAAGTAGACAGATTATATATTAAGGATTGGTTGCACAGAGTCTACATAGGTACATAGATTGCCAAAATAACAAGGCTGTTGCCGTGTCACGATTAAAGCTTATAAATACCTGAATACTGTAGCTTGGATTTTGCAGTAGGCCGTATGTGGCAGCAAAGTTTAGGTGTCAGGTCTTCCATTTTTTGACAGACTACCATACCCAGCGATTTCAGGACTGCTTTTTTTTTCTTCCCCCTTACTCGCCATGGGTATGCTCACCCCCCCCCCCCCCCCCCTGCCCGGACCCCCATTTAATCTTCCTCCTTTTGGTGAATTTCTCTGTCACATCCCTGCATACCTTTCTTTCATCTTTTCTTCCTTGCTGCTCCCCTTTCCTCCAGTTCCGAACAGTTCATGTTTCCTGGTAGACCGAAAGCTTCAGTCTCTATAATCGTCGGTTGTTCCACTGAGACTACGTCTGGCTCCACTAGACCTCCGGTTATAGAGGCTGAACGACTGCCTATGCCAGCCTGTGTTGAACTTATTCCGCTAGATTTTAGCCGCTAGGCCCCTCCCACAAACTTGCCACGGCCGTATTGTTATGCCCCCAAAATCCCCCAAAATGTCATTTTACCTCGTTCATTTCCAATTTTAAATTAGGCCTAGGCTATAATACATCGGTTCCACTTACTAACTTGATTGATATAATCCGTTTAATGGTCCCTTTTAAGGAAATTATCGGTCAAAATCGACATCCATGTTGAAAATCTTGCAAGCCGTGTTAAACTCTCGCTGCCGTCAATCTCATCCCTTCTAGTCTACGCCGAAGGCAAAATGATTATGAAGGAAAAACTGTGATAACGCCATTACGAACGTGTAGATGGCGCACAGTTTTTCCTTCATAATCATTTTGCCTTCGGCGTAGACTAGAAGGGATGAGATTGACGGCAGCGAGAGTTTAACACGGCTTGCAAGATTTTCAACATGGATGTCGATTTTGACCGATAATTTCCTTAAAAGGGACCATTAAACGGATTATATCAATCAAGTTAGTAAGTGGAACCGATGTATTATAGCCTAGGCCTAATTTAAAATTGGAAATGAACGAGGTAAAATGACATTTTGGGGGATTTTGGGGGCATAACAATACGGCCGTGGCAAGTTTGTGGGAGGGGCCTAGCGGCTAAAATCTAGCGGAATAAGTTCAACACAGGCTGGCATAGGCAGTCGTTCAGTCTCTATAACCGGAGGTCTAGTGGAGCCAGACGTAGTCTCAGTGGAACAACCGACGATTATAGAGACTGAAGCTTTCGGTCTAGTTTCCTGGTAGCCACGAACTGGAGCAGCGCTTCGATTTCCACCCTTTGGAAGTCCTTGCTACGTTTCCTAGGCGTTTCCTGAAATTTGAGGAAAATGCATAAAGATCTAGTCTACATGTAGACCTAGTTACTATTTATTTTAGGGTAGTGAGCACATTTTTTTTTTTTTTTTATCCTCAGAAAAAATTTCAATTTGCACCCCCCCCCCTTGAGCGCCAGGGGGGGGGGGGGGGCCAACCCCAAAAAAAGGTAAAAATCACGTGATTTTACATGATTTTTTTCTCAAGGGGGGGGGGGGGGGGGGCCCCGGCCCCCCCGCCCCCCCCCCCCCCCCTGGATCCGCCACTGCACTTGGGTTCTGTTAAATAAATAAGCTGTAGACCCTATTGTAATTCCGATTGGAATAAAACTTAGGTCAGTTAATCACTGCTATTTTTTCCAAAACCAAGAGATAAAACATGTTTTTCAACTAGACCTAGATCTAGACTATAAATCATCATTATTAGGAGATATTTTGCATTATATCCCGCATAGACTACTAAGAATCCTGCAATCTAATGGGTCTAAACGAGGTCACATGATAAAATAGAGACAAGTACTACCTGAGATAGTACTATTGTAAAGTAATTTTTAACTGCTACCCCACTTGCCCACCCTTGCCTAATACGCATAGCAAAGTAGGTTACGTGAAATGTCGATGTCAATGTCAAAACTCAAATGAGCATGCATCGACTGTAGACCCCTATTACATTTATTTGTATGCATGTTGCGCTTTGTAAAATCTAGCTGAAGCTAAACTGTCTGCAGAATCAGTTTTTATTATGTAAAATTCACTTTAAATAGTCTAGACCTTATTGCTGATGTGGGATATAAAACAAATTTTGGCTTTACTCGGGCAATGGATACAAATTATCATCGCCTCGGTGATGATAGTTTGCACCATTATTTAGATCTAACAGTTAGACTAGAATCTAGGTCTAGCCTAGATCTAGACTCTAGATCTAACCTCGTAGACTACTCGTAGTCTATTCGATTAATATTTGCTTAGTCTACTTTAACATTAACCTTAATTACTGGTAAAGCCTAGCCTAGTCATACATGTACTCAAGAGAGGAGCCGACCCTACCCAAATCAGAGGCTAACGAACAATTTTCAACGAAAGAGACAGAAACTTTGCTGGTCTAAGTTAGGTCTAGGCCTAGGCCTACTGCCTGAAAATATAGCAGTCACAATCACACTCAGTCTCAGACAGATTAAGAAGTAAGATTGAGAGTAGATGTAGACTAGATCTATCTCTTTATAATCTAGACTAGGTCTAGATCTAGATCTAGTATACTAGTCTAGGACTCTAGTACTAGTAGAACTAGATCTAGATCTAGTTACTAGAATTTAGATCAGTCTCTATGTTCTAGGACTAGATCTAGGCCTAGTTTGTTCGTGCATGAGAGAGAGCACGACTGTAATCCGCGACCCCGGAGTGACAGCGGGCTCGCTATACCGCCACACGCACTGTTCATCACTGCCAATTAATCGGCCGCGATTTATTGAGGTATCAAAATACAACTTCCATCACAAACTTCCACTGCCATGGGTGTCGATCTGTAACTGATACCTATTCATCAGGGGGGGATGATCTATTCATTCATCCCCCCCTGCTGAATAGGTATTACGTAAGGATCGACACCCATGTCCACTGCATACATTTCACTTTCAATAATTTACTTCTATGTTGTCTTAAGAAAAAGGTTAATACCATACCTTCCCCATTTTGCTCCTAGTAGTCGAAATAATGTCAAACAACCACTTAAAGTGATAAAATTCAGCGACCTTTCACTTTTTCAATGCAGACGATGCAGACGAAAACTTAAGGGGAAAAAATACTTGTATATCTTCACACAAGGTCGAAGGTCACGAAATTCGGCTTCGTAGAATCAAAATCCAGACGTTTTATTGTTGAAGATGCGCCGCACACAGGACTTAGTAAAGAACGGTTTAGTGAAACTGAGAAACCAACAGGACGTCAGTAGGACCCGTCTTAGTGTATGACGCGTCGCAGCGACACTAAGTCCCGTTACACTAAGTACTGTTTAGTGAGACAGGCCCCTGGTCTCATCCTTGAGCTCAATAATGTATTTCTAAATACGTGATATCGCACATATGCAATATGGATTGTTCTTTGTTGTTGTTTTTTCTCTTTAATGTTATATCATCAAAGACTTGGAGTAAATGAATCTCGGGGATCTTATTTATTCTCGGAGAGAGACACATCTCATCTTTAAAAAAAGCATCCTTTTAAACAGAGAGGGGGTCATCTGAGTCATCAACCTATTTCTCGAGAGTGAGAAAACATGTTTGAGGGTAGGCCAACATTCATTTATCTGATGCGACACTACGCGACTCTTGCTGGAAAAACTGTTCAATAGGAAGAGCGCCACCTGTAGGCTTTTTTTTTTCATTGACGACTCTTCAAAAGTTCTGCAACCAACTTACCCCTGCCCATGATTACTAATATAAAATCGTGAAAATGCGGAATTTAAACTTGTCGACAACCCTCTCCCTCCCTCCCCTAACTCTCTCTCTCTCTCTCTCCATCCGTCCATATCCCCTTCCCTCTACATCTTTCTTTCTCTGCATCTGTTCCTACCAGTCACACTCTTCCCCCTCTCTCTCTCTCTCTCTCTCTCTATTTACATATATATCGTATGTACAGCTCTCTTTTAAAATATGAACTGCCTGTTTAGAGCCAGAAGAAAAAATCAATTCGTGGTAAATGCCCTTTTGGCTCCAAACAAGACAGAACTTTTTTTTTTTTTGGTCACCCAATGCTCCCACTCCCTATCTCTCTTTCTCTCTCTCTCTCTCTCTCTCTCTCTCTTTCTCCCTTATATTTCATACTGATACTTTCCCACTTAAATTTTTCAAATTACCAAAGCCTTGAATGTTTAATTTGAAATGTGATATGTGAATGATACCAATCATGGGAGCAACTTAATCAGATTTAATTGTGCAAAATCTTGTTTGCTTCTTTATTGATATATCGATCATTACCTTGCAACCTTTTAACCATGTGTGTATGCGAAAATAATTTGTTTACACTACCCTACCTTTTAATACTAAATTGGTCCAACGATAAAAGAAAATCTGCATTTTACCTACAAAATATATTTTGTTTAATTCATTGTAGCATCTATTTGATTATATAATTCCCAGATTTGGGGTCGTGGTCGAGTGGTTACGTCACCGGACTGTTGATCACAAATCGGGGTTCGAGTCCCGCCGCGACACTAATGTCCTTTGGCACGACATTGATCTACATTTGCCACACTCAACCCAGGTGATGTAAATGGGTACCTTGAAATGCTAAAGCGCTGTAATGGCAGCACAGCTAAAACAGTGAGGGATAATAATCTCCAAGTTTGGAAGCGCTTAGAGATTTAAATGTAATTCGCGCTATATACAAGCTGAGTATTATTATTATTGGTTTCTGCTATTGTCTCTATTTCTGTTATTGAAGAAAATACACTACCCATCTGGCTATGCAATTTCCAATCCCAACATGTAATTCATTCGAAATTCAAAAAAAATAAATATTCATAATCGTTTAACATAATTTTATTACAAATAGGTTATAATATTCAGATTTCTGAATATGTACTAAGTAATGTGCCATAATGTACAACGATGGCGACACGACAAATGCTACGGCGGCGGTTGCTCCAGGCTTTATTTCATCAGGGATGTGAGGTTGGGGTTGAATTTGTTGTTTGTTTTGGGGCTGGGCTTGTGCTTGCATGGTCTTGGCGTTGGGTGCGGTGAAGGTTTCTTGTCCGTGGTTGGGATTGGGAGTTTGAATAATGTACTGAATTGCCGCGGAGTAATTGTAACCGGAGCAGGTGTCGTAGAAGCACAATTATATATTATATGTACAAAAAGAATTGCAATTTACTGCCACAATGTTAATACGCATATGTATTACGTGTTACTGATGTATACTTTGTAAAAAAAAATAAATAAACAAAAAAAAAACATCTGCAATTCACCTCTCGGGCCGTGAATGTGTTTTAATAAAATTAAAGAATTTTAAATAAATAAAAAAATAAATGAAATATCTATTTTTAATGTGAAACAATGACAAACCACTTCATGACACTTATTTACAGTTTGTTAGGTATTATACATTCAAAGTTTTATATTTTGTATTTCTGTTTGTTCATTACTTTAATATTCATTATTCATTCATGTTTTTCGTTATTGTTCAATGTATTCATTTACTTTCTTATCTATTTCAAACTGGTGGTAGGTACAACATTAGAAACGGGCGTTGCAACTTTTTTAATTGAAAAAGTTCGATTCTTCTGCTTCGAACTATTCTTTTTAAGCAATTAAATGAAATGTGAAATTCGAACATTAAAATGATTGACCATAATTAATATTTTTTTGACAGATTAAAGTTTAAAAATATATCAAAATTGCTCCGGCTGTAATAAGTGACAATTGTAAAAATTACTAACATTAATTGAAGTTCTATATCATGTAACTTACCAATAGAGAAATAAAAACCTACTTTTTGAAAAAAAATCACGCTCTGCATGCAATTCTTGTCATATTATTAACAAAAGCATAGTTGAAATTATGTATGCGATGTTTGGATACAAGTTTTAACATTTCAATAAACACAATATGGTTTGGTTAATGATAATGAAGGTTATGTATATTACTGTTCTCAACCATTCAGGTAATTGATTAATAATTCAATAATTCAAATGATTTTATTTCTCATGCAAAACACAATACAATAATAATTATATCACAAAAACTATGCAATGAAACGACAAATATAATGGAAAAAGCACGAGAAAAGACGAAGTAACTTGAAGTAGAGCTTGTTGAAGTGTTAGTTCCTCAGATGCTGTTTTACAATATAACATGAACAAAGTATGCTTAGAAATACATGTAATATCAAATGTAATAAAGAAATCAACTTAATTTTTTCCCGCTTACGACGCCATACGTCTACTGTGGGACGCTTCACCAGGCCGAATATACCGAAGGGTCTTTGAAAGGTTTATCAGAGAAGGGCAGTTCTTTCCTGACGTTCCCTGACCGGAACACCATGTTCACGGGTCAAGAATCATATGGCATTAGAGACCGGTCGGCCCGATGAAGCATCCAAGAGTGAACCTGGACCGTCACAAGCTTAGATTTTTGTTTTTTTGTTAGTACACTTGGCTTGATGAAGATTCTCTGGTGATTTATAAATTGAGTACTCTCTGGGGAACATCCATTATGATCTTTAGGAGGAAAAGGAGCATTATTTTCTCCGGGAATGGATCAATGAGAACGAGTTGAGAAACCAGATCTTCTTCTTCCAAGATGGTGGTTTCCTCGTCGGGTTTTCCACCAGAAGATACCAGAGGGGCTATCTCAGATAAATCTTCAGGTAGGACTTGCATTTTTTGTACGGACGATTGGTCAGCAGGTTTAATGCTACTTACATTGGTCATATCATCACCAGCGTGAATTTCTTTAGAGGACACGTCTCCAGAAGTCACTTCAGATGCATCCAAGTTCTGTCTACTGCTCTCCGGTGATTTGTCATGATGCTGACTCCTACTTCCATCTGTCAAGTCCTCCTGGGTTTTGGAAGCCATGTCTCCTGTATGCCCATCTCGAGGAGTGTAGTTATTGCTTGCTGTAGCGTCCTGCAGTACCTGGGTGTCGGTCTGTCCTTTGGCCTGGTCCTCTTCTAGAGAGGCCTCATCTCTAGTAGAGAGCTGCTCACCATTGACGCCTTCTTTATCATATTCAGCATCGATCTGTTCTTCTTCTAAACCTAACCGGCAGTAAGAAAGAAAACAGGTAATTGGTTTATTTCTCAAAACACATCAAATTGATTTATTATGATTGTGTAGAACTTATCGCAGTGAATTTCATTTTTTTTTAATGTTCACCAGGTAGTAAATGAGAACTTGAAGTTGGTAGTAAGTATCTGTTTGGCTTTTTATTCGTGAGGAAAATGCTAACTGAAAGTTGTACCTAAGCTCTTTTAAAGTATCTCCTCTTTGCATTACGTCACCTTAGTATTTATATCAACAGTGTAAAAATGTGGAAAACGAATTTGCTTCAGAAAATACCATCAATCTGACTATAAACACATGGGCCCTATTGTATACCGAATAGAACATCATGTTACTGAAGTGTTGAATGGGGTCCTCGATTACGAAACTACAATTGTTCTTAATGAAAATATACGTTACCTCCGCTGAGATACAGGTCTGCAAGGTTGACCAACTTGGCAGCTTGCAGTGCCTTCGTTAGCTCAATCCGTTCATCTTCCCTGGACACACCTCTTCTCCATTGTTTTAGCATATGACGAGTTCCATCACTGGTAACACGGCCGAACCTCATATTGGTCATGAGCGCTCTCTGTATATCACCATGTAGGATTCCCAGCTGACCAGCAAGGCTGTCGATTTTGGCTTCATCGTAAAGATCGTCAGCTATCTTCGTTAAGATGTCTGCAAACTCATCATCTGGGGGCTCCTCTCTAGAATGGTAAAAAGACAAACATGGGGGGCGGTCAAAGAACGTAGGTATGACGAATCAACTTTAAAATTAGTACAAACCTTTACTTAGGTGAAGGAAAAAAAAAGTCAAAATAAGTTCTTCCCGTAATGAGACTATAGAGGATTATGTAATATTATAACTCTAATCAAAATAAGTTCTTCCCGTAATGAGACTAAAGAGGATTATGTTATATTATAACTCTAATCAAGAGTATCATCTTCTACTTGTTTCATTACAGAACGTTTTCATTGTTAAAGTCAACCTATAGCAGTTGACTGACACAAATAGACAGCGATCCCATTTAGAGACCATGCTCGACATGCTCGAATTATTAAAATCTATTTAAATTCATTAAAGGATTTCACTTTCAACTCAAATCACTGTAGACTGGAATGCAGCTAAGATTTTCATTTCTTTGTTAATGAGTTTCGATATTTTATTCACTACTGCGTTTACATTATCACAGGTGGTCACGAAATTTCTAAATCTGATTTTGGATTCATAGAAAATAACTGTTTCCGTACTTTTAGCAC